TCTACAAGCTTTGCAAGTGGGAAAACCTGAAAAATCAACAGTGTATCAAATACTTGATCTCCCCAATTTACGCAGCTCATTTACACACTTTTCCTGAAGATAGAAGAGTTTGTTGAATCTGACGTGACATGTTCGTACGAACCCTTTGTACGAACAAAAGTAGGAGAAATTTAGGAGAAGAATACGAACATGTTCTTGCATGAGGCCCAATGTTTCCATCATGGAGTTGGTCAGAGTCCTCTGACTTTCTGAGGCAAAGTTCCTGCTCATTTACTTAACTTGTAAATTAAAGGTTTTGAGTAAAAATGGAACGAACCAATTGACCCGATCAACAGAAGCTTCCTCATGAAGTTCACTGGCCAGGTCTGCTGTAAAAAAAGAGATTTTTACCTTGATAAATAAAGGATCTATTACAGTGGGCACTATGGTGGGCTAAATTTCAGTCACTGAGGCTTTTTTAAAATCATTTTTTAAACATGAGTGATTTTAGGAGTCGTTACAAACAAGACTAGATTTCTATAATACTTCTACAGCAGGTGTAACTGTCAGAGGTGTCAAACGCTCACATTCATTATTCAGACAGAAGTATAAATACTTGGGTTTAAAAAGACTTCTGTAGGATTACAAGTATCAACTCCACTTTTTACTAAAAGTACTGGTTTTAAAACCAGGCCTACTTAAAATATAAAGGTACACACAGGGGCCTGAGTCAACCCCACCTCCTTAAAAACATTTTTCTAAAAGCCATAATGACTATAATGTTATACTAAAACATTAATACTGAAAATATTAGGATACTCTAGTTTGTTTCAGCTGTATGCAGACCTCTGCCATGCTCATCTTTATACTCATCTACATGTTTGGGATGTTCTGCTGGAGAGTTTGTGTCATACAGGTGTCACAGTTAAAGTCACTCTATCCAGGAGGCACCACATATCTGGATAGGTTGTTTTTCTCAATGATGACAAGCCGGAATGAAAACAAGCTGAAGGGAAATAAAAATTAAATACCTTTTGCATTTTTAAATTTCTACCTAAGTAAAGTAACCATGTATTTGTACTTCATTACTGTGTGTAGGAGGCAGCAAACTATCTGTAAATAATCAGGTTAATAAGACGCGTGCCTTTCTTCAGATCTATCCGTATGAAACGCTGATCGTGACCCACAGGGGGCGCTGTAAGCTGCCTCCAGGAGTGGACCGCACCCGGCTGGAGGTGAGGATGAGCTCTTATGATGCTGTTTGGTGAGAGAGAAAAAAAAAATCCTGTTTCTGTTTGTTGAGCGTTTCAGGAAGTCTGTCTTTTGCTAAAACAAACAATGTGTTTCATAAAATGAATATAATCCTTTCATCTCAGCCTAAGAGACAAATTTCTTCCTAGTTTACTGATTTTAAACTAGTAATGTTAGGTAAATGTGCGAGGTTAAGACTAGTTCTCCTCAGTTTACTTTCTCAGCATGTTTAAAATAAAATAGCTGATTTCTTCTGTTTTGACCCTTATTGTTCCCACAGAGGCATCTCTCCCCGGAGGACTTCCAGAAACTGTTCGGGATGACCATCGCCGAGTTTGACCGCCTGTCGCTGTGGAGACGAAACGAACTGAAAAAGAAAGCCTCGCTTTTCTAACAGCAAGTGACCTCACTCCCGGCATTATACTTGATGGCGCGCCTCCTCTATAGGAGCGGAGGCGACAACAAACAGGCCATACCTTTAGATATCCAGTCAGCAAATACTTTGTGTGTTTCATCTCTATGGTAACTGACCAACCGTGGGCCCAGGTGTGCTGGTTCCTCCTGGATCAGAGCCTTGTTGAGGATCGCCAGTTCTGGTCGACTCCAACTAACCTTTACTGATGCACATAATACAAAGTGCTGCACTTATAACCCACACGGCTTGCAAACCATCACTATTATATATCTGCTCACCCATCATCATCACCATCATCATCATCTACATTCCTGTGTGTTTTAGTCTCACAGAGATCCACCTCCAGAGTTGGACATCTTGAAGAGAGATCTGCAGGTCGGCTCATGTTTCAGGGCAAACTCAGGTTTTCTGGCATCATGAAGCTGCTTCTCTTAGCTCTGATTGGTCGTTAGCAATCTGGGTCTGACTCTGAACCTGTATGATTTTCTAATAGGACCCTAAGAAGGACAGAATAAATGGATGTTTATTAATAATCACATTAAAATTGATCAGAAAATCTCCCCTTTAAACATCAGCTCTTCTGATCTTTGAGAGGTGTTATCAGGCAGTTGCCAGAGTGTCAAATCAACGTTGGAAGATCATTAGACACAGAGGATGCTGGGTGGAGTTTGATAGGGGTCTGTTTGTGTGTTTGCATATGAGTGGACCTATTATACAGTCTGACATTCGGGTGTCACAATGGCTAAACCAACAAACAAACAATAAACAATGACAACAAGAGGCTCACTTCGTGCTACTTTAGCACCACTGGATATGTTTAAACGTGCCTGTGACAAGAATTTCCTACAAATACAAGAACTGAGAGATACTTAAGAAATTTACCACAATTCAAATGATTTTATCCATTTTGTCACATTACTGGCTGATTTTTATTTATTTTTTTTTTTTTGTATTTACCCCAAAGAACTCCCCTCGTCTTTCTTTACACGAGCTGAAGCCAACAAGCAAGTGACCGAGGTGTAAACTCATTGTTAATGTGGTGAAGCGATGTACTGCTGGTGGTGGCAGCATTAATGCAACAGATGTAAGTTTATACTGCTGAAAGGAAGACCTGACTGGATCACAGCAGTTCTTTTCTGCAGCCTGTGTTGTTACCCGCAGCCTTCTGTTTACATGCAGGCGTTCCTCTTCATCATCAGAGTTCTTTTTTGTATGGAGTTCCATTTGTGCCAAAAATATGTTGTTGAGCCTTAGTCCATGTTCTTACAGTAAACCTTGTGTTGACACATAATGTCATTTTTTTCTGTCTATAAAACTATACAAATGTTCCAAAACCATGTTTATAAGTTGTTCACTTTGTCTTCATATCATGTTGTTAGATCATGTTGTTGAATGGTCTAACAACTTGACGTGAAGACAAAGTGAATGACTTATAAACATGGTTTTGGAACATTTGTATAGTTTTATAGACAGAAAAAAATGACATTATGTGTCAACACAAGGTTTAAGAACATGGACTAAGGCTCAACAACATATTTTTGGCACAAATGGAACTCCATACATTTGTGACCATTTATTTCAACAGCAGTTCATCTCATTATTATTATTATTATTATTATTATTATTATTATTATTATTATTATTATTATTATTATTATTATTATTTACAATATGTTAATGTCTTTTTTTTTCAATGTTATATTTGTTATGAAAATTTGATGTCACAGGCACTTTAAGGTCACCCCTGCTGGTGACTTGATTTCACTCAGTCGACACTTTCCCCTACAAGTAAAGGTGAGGATGATGGGCTGATTTATTCCCTGTCTGTAAAAGACAAGATGAAGAAACAAAGTCTGAGTGATTTCTCACCAGGAGTTTGATAATGGTTTGTGTCCTGGAGTCGCCCGAGTGACACATTATCCAAATGTTGACAGCAGAAAATGTGCTGAGCAGAGCAGAGCAGACAGAGTAAGCGTGCCAGAGTGAGGACTAACAAAAGACCAGCAGTGTGTCTGTGCCTGTTTGATCAGAGGTTGTAATCAGTGAACTTCCATTAAATGACCTTTGATCATGACTTTCTTCATTTAATGTCCACCACTCTGTCATTTTATGAATGACAGCTGACTGACAAGACGAGCAACTTTAGCAGCCAATTGTGTTTTTTTATTTGTGTGTCGAGTATGTGACTTTTATAATTTGGGATGTTTTAATGAGCACTGATGTTAGTTCTTGTTGTCCTTCATCACTTCCATTCACCCGACACTTTTTCATACTCATTCTAGCGTCAGAGTCTGCCCATCGTCCCAGTGCTCTGTTTCTGTCATGCAACCCAATAAATATCAACATGAAAATCCTTCTTGTTTTTACTCTTGATTTTGACAGAATCACTTGTTCTTTTCCAAAAATCTGAGAATTAGTTTAATCTGTATGATTGAAGTCAAACACAAAGCAGGCAAAGATTAAAGGCAGTGTGTAGGATGTTGTCAATTCTTTTATCCGAAATTGAGATAATCACTAATGACAATAATAAAAAACATGTCTAATCATTGCAGACAAAGACCTTGTTTTATTATTGTTACCTTATAAAAAGCTGTTTATATCTCCATGGTCGCGG